CTGCACATATTTGTTGTGTTTGTTTTTGCCTTTGCATTGTTGGTACACTTTCATATGGTTGGACAATTTGTAAGATTTAATTTGGTTGCTTGCCAAAAAGTCGCGTCATTTGGTGGGGGGCCTTATGAGCCTAAACATTTTTGTGTGTTGCTTTTAATTAAGAAGTGTGGTCGGATCCTACTGCCACTGCTATTTCCGTATAAATATAGTTTTATTGTGTATTTTGTATATTTCTTTCACAGAGGATAGAGCAGAGGCAGAGGCAGAGGCAGAGCAGTGGATGGAAATGAAATACATTTGGCGGCAAAGTAAATGTCAAACACGAGAAAACTCGGCCACTACATCGATGTTCTATAATTAAATGCAGTATATTTGTTGTACGTATATAACTTACCCGTGAAATTGGCTAATAAATGAACCGTATGCCGCCTCCTTTGGCCAAGTTCTCCTTTGGTTGTGTTGTGTTCTGTTGTGGCGTGTCGTGCCGCGTTGGTGGATGTCTTTTTGGCTGTTGGGGCTCGTCTTGTTCCCGTCCGTTGGCACGTATTTACCACGAGGCACCGTTTCCAACTGAGGCAGAATTGTTGTAAACAAACCAATTCAACCCCTCGAGTACTTTGGCGCTTAATTTTGATATTTGTAACACTCAAATGGCAACGGACAACCCCAAAAACTGTGGGGCGGGTGCTGCTGCGTCCAGTAGGGAAGTTCACTCGGTAGAGTGTGGTGTGTGCGGCGGGGAGGGGGTCTGTCTAAGTGGGGAGTAAAAGCGCGAGCGAGCTTTTCTGCTTCCACTCGCACTCGAGTTGGAGCATTGCTCGATAGCAGCAGCGGGTGATAAGAAAGCTGAGCTCTCAAACACACCATGTTCCTCTCATAAAGTACATAGTCGTATTTGTTTAGCACAAAGATAGGCAATTTTAAACAAATATAGTATGAAGCAGTGGGAACCACGCCTTCACTGGCTACAGGTTCTTATCAGCGTTTGCCACATGGCCATGACGAACCGAACCCGGCAACCGTTTGACAAGTTTTGAGCCAGACAACCGAAAACACTCAATTTCCGTGAACAACAGACTGCCACACAAATTTGTGCTGGCTTGCAGTTTCATTCATTTAATTTAGTTAATGAACATGTCGCGAGTGCACTGAACTGTTGGCTCTTTTTGTTTCATTCTTTGTCTGTGCATTTCCACTTGAGTCAGCAAAAGTGCATTTACATTTGAATATGTAACGTATTTCAGCTGTAAGTAACATCAAGCAATTCTGCTGTTAAACTTAACAGAAGCCTGTTGGAGACACAAGTGTTGCAAAATGCACCCTTTCGTCTTTACACGAATACGTGTAGTTAGCATGTATACAAAATATGTTTTTTGCCGTTTAAAAGTTTTAATGATAACCAATAAAGACTAATCCAATAAAAGCCAGTCCTGAAAACTAACCAATATTGTGGAAAATTGATTCATATCACAAGTGCCCATACAATTCGATATCTTCCCATCTTGTGGAAAATTGATTGGAGAATTTGATAAAATTATAGTCCTAGAGCTGAGAATCCTAACTAGCTAGTAATATCGAATAGAAGATCAAAGTCGAGGAATAGTGCTTGAATATGTTAGTGTGAACGGATATTATTTTTGGTATATTTCTGTGGTATTTCTGTGGAGAAGAGAGGATCGTGCTGACCTGTACCAGAGCCAGAGCCAATTATAACATTTACTTATTTTCCATTTGTGCAATTTTCAGAAAAACAATAGAATTTCCATTCCTCTTTTGTTGCGCGCGCTATTTTTCAAAAATATATGTTAACCTTCATGTGTCTCTACATGTTACATACATTTACATACTGAAGACAAAACTCCCTTGGTTCTAAAAGTGAGTTCTAAAATATGAGGTCAGGAAGTACACAATCCAATAAAAAGTAATATTTACAAAAAGCCGAATTGATTCTTCAAACGTATTCAATTATTGTTTCAGTGTTAAAATGTCTTTGCAAGTTGTAAATATCGAATAGAACATCAAAATCGTGGAAAATGATTTTAGATGTAGGTATTAGATATAGGTATATTTACAGTATATTTTAAATTTTGAATGCAGGGGTATATTTCGGTATATTTCTGAGAGTCTGACGGTCTATTTGATCGATAACTTCACGGTCACACTGATCAAAAGCCGAACATATTTATAATTTTTGTAATAATCAATAAAAAGTTAAATTTATAGAATATTTACTATCGCGAGAGCTAAGAGAGGACACACGCCAGAGAAACAATATGAGCGGGAGGTAAGCCAGCAGTGAGAATTGCTTGATAAATATCTACTTACGGGTGCATATTATGTATGTATGAACATATATGTATGTTTCTTGCAGTTCCCTCTGTGGGGTTGTGGAGCCAGCCGATTTCCAGGCAGCCGCCGCCACTGCCGCTGCAGCTGCGGCAGCTGCCACTAGGGCCAACAGCTCGTCGGACCGGGATGAGTGGAGCGTGAGCGAGTGCGGCTTTATGGATCCCGAAGTGCAGCGCACAATGCGAAGCGGCAGTGCCGCAGAGGACATAACACAGTATCCGCTGCGTGGATGGCAGGAGGTGACCGGCGAGTTCATTGCGGCATGTCAAGAACTGATACCCGGCGAGCTGGCGCAGGACATGATGTTTGGCCTCTTCGAAGCCATGTCTGCGATCGAGATAATGGACCCAAAGATGGATGTGGGCATGGGCTTCGACAAGTCGGACTTGCCTCCTCCCTCCTTTGAGGCAGCCATCACGGTAAGAATGCGGGAAATAGTCTCTCGTCTAACTCATCAATTCATTGACACCCCTGCCAGATGGGAGTAATCAAGCTGGACGACCTGACGCCCACCGAACTGATTGGGATCTTTGATGCTCTATTCTCGTGCATTGTGTCCTGGCTGGAAGGCAATTCAATGGATCAGGTGTTGTTCACGTGTCTCTATCTGCACGCCCCTGCCAAGATTAAGGACAAGCCGCTGCGCGTCTTCTGCACTGCAGTGCGTAATCTCATTGCGGTCATCAAGAGCATCATTCTCTTGGCCGGTGTGAATGAGGAGGAGGACTTTCAGCTGTACGGCAACTCAACCCTGCTGTCCGCGGAAAAGGCTCATCCCGGCAATATTTTCGGTTATTTGAAGGAGGTGGAGGACGAACTGGTGCGCAAATGCAAGCAGCTGACATCGCCAGAGGATTTGATGTCTGTGGTGCATCGACTTCGCTTTATGCGACACCTGTTCCAGGTCATCTACCAAGTGGAGCAGATGGAAACCAGTACCGGCACGGAGGATAGAATGAGCGAGATTTACAAGAATCTGAACGTGGCTTCCGAACTGCTGCCGCTTATACGCAAAACCATTGATCGGGGCACCCAGCCCGTGGAGGGCTGTAAGTTCACTGCCGGCGATTGTGCTTCTGTATTGTCTAACGAATTTATTTTATCCCGCAGCGGAGGCCCCGAATCCTATTGGTTTCTCTACACGCATCCATGACCGCAGCCAGCCTCCCTCCTTTCCTCGCAGCATTAAGATCAGAGACCGTCCAGCCAGCTTTCAATTCCTGGAAGAGATGATCTCTCGTTTCAAGTACGCCTGCAAAGTGACCCGGAATAAGGACTACTTCTCAGCTCTGGTAAGACTAACAATTGAAATATTAAGAATTTAGCATTTAGGCGTTGCCTCCCCTTGCAGAACTTCTTCATCGAGTACAGCAAAAAGTCGGGGCAGTGCATCCTCTCAAGGAGTGTGCTGCAGGCGATATTCACCGCAAACCTGCGGATGGTGCATGGCCGAATGCCGATGAAGCAGTTTCTACGGCACTCGGTGCAGGCCTTCAACTCACCGCCGGTGCTCAGTGCCAAGAATACGGTGTCCAGTGATCCCAAGGTGCAGCAGCAGTTGGAGAACTTCTTTCGCTATTGCATCAGCCTGAACACCTTCACCATGTTTATACGCATCTGCGGCTTTAATCGGGCCAGGCAGCGGGACAAGCTGGGTCGCTTGATTGAGAATTTCGACGCCATCCAAGTGGATGCGGCCAGATTGGACTCGTTTATGAACCAGCTGGCAAACGAACGGGCCATGGAGGGCAACGAGCTGCATGCCACGGCTCTCAAGCACAGCACCCACTTCTCCACGTGGGTCCTGTACAACTGCTTCCGTGCCATGCTGATCTATCTGATGTCCGGCTTCGAGCTGGAGCTGTATGCTGTGCACGAGTTCCTCTACATCTACTGGTATCCGTACGAGTTTCTGGTGGGCTTCCTCGTTTCGGCCCTGACACGCACGGAAAATATTCTGCTGGCCCAGGAGGAATACGCTGAACACCTGAGCAAGACTCAAGCGAACGGCGGCAGCACCTCCAAGAACCGCAAGGTAGCCAAGCCAAGGAAGAACAAGAAGCTACAGCGGCCCTATCGCTGCGAGATAGTCTTCTATCACGCTTTGCTTAGCCTCTGTGGCGGCATGTACAAGGCCATGGGTGCCCTTACCAAAGATGGACGCGTGCGTTTGCCAATGGACACATTTGACAACGAGGAGGTTCGATATATTCGACGATTCCGACCCTTTGGATCACTCACCAGTCCACCGCCCGTCAGCTATCAGGAGTTCAAGAGCATCCGGGACCACATGATGCTTGCCAGCGTCGAGGATCTGTACTCTGTGGCAGCCAAGCATTTCGATCAGGCCCGAAATATTTTGGAAAACATACAGAATCCTGACCAGGAAGTAAGTCTGGAATCCTTCTCCCAACCTCCCGTTCACATCTGAATATCCAATTTGTTGCAGGTGCTGGACCTTCTTCAAATCGCTCGGACCAACTTTGTTGTGATGAACGTGCTGGCCCGTGGCCATCAGAAGGATGTGAAGCGCCAGCCAGAGTTTGACTTTTCGAAGCATAGCTATTTCCCCATTATTAAGTTGAAATAAGCGCCTGGCGATTTGATTTTAAATGTGTTCTACCACCCCCCAAAAATAATGGACTAAATTATATGTATTTATGGAGTTTAATATCAATGCTGCTCTTCCGACACAACGTCCTGCTTGACTATGTGCTCCTCCACATAGCCCTTAATGGGGCAGCTCTTGGCACAGGTGTAGACCGCCAGTACGCCCCAGTCCAGCAACTCTTCCTTGAGCAACGCCAAGGTCTGGGGCATGATCTGGAACTCGAACTGGCGAACTCCGCCGCACTGACTGCAGTTGGGCAGCGTCTTCAGTTGATCAGCCACAGTGGCGGCTGTATTTGTTATCCAGAGAGGCTCTCCGCCGCGCTTGTAGCGCACAATCTGCTCGGGCTCATCAGCGATTTGCTTCTTAAATTGACGAAACGTCTTGTCATCCGAACCAGCTGTATTGCCAAAGTACTTGTCCATCTCCGCCTCGGAAACGTTGCTCAGGTCGCCGGTGTTCCCGCTGGCCTGCAGCGCCTCAAACTCTGCCAAACGAGCGTCGTCATCTTTGTCGTCTTCTTCCACCGGCCTGGTCGGACTGCTCTCGATCACAATCTCGAATTCCTCAAATTCTATCGCGCTTAGTGGCTTGTGCAGCGCAGGCTTCGATGATCCGCAGTTGGCCTTGTGGGCGGACCAATGTGCCCGCTGATGTTCAGAGGAACAATAATAGATGCTTTTGCAGCGGCTGCAGGCGTGCGGAGCGTAACAGCCGCAGGCCTCACATAATTTTTTCAGGCAGGGTATAGGGGGCTGAAAAACAATAGGTCAACAATTTGAAAAATCTTGAGCATTCCTTCATTGCATACCAAAGGTTCACCATCATCTTCCGCCGCCTGTTCCGAGAAGAATTTGTTTTTCCGCGGCAGCTGCGACCTCAGCACTGTGAAATTTCTGTGAAAGCCAGAAGTATTAGGATATTCAGGATAATCACACACGTATTAAATCACTTACTCTGCATTATGTGCCTGCTGGCAGTCTGCATTCCGGCACACGAAAATATAAATTGAACGATGAAAACTGAATTCCTCCTCGTGGGGCGCATAGAGTTGGGCCAAGAAAACTTTGGGTGCCTTGCACTTGCTGCACTGCAGCTGTGCTGTTGGGGGGAGTGCCTCCAGGTCCAGCCAGGCGGGTTGTCCACCCAATTTGCTAGGGAAGTACCGGTTGCTCAACCAGGCATTATTATCCCGTTTCTCGGCAAAACCTAAATCAATTTCCATGTTTTTAAACGTGCAGAAGAGATACCAGTGTGGCCGACGATGATAAAATATACCGCCTGACCCTCAGATAAAATCCGAAATATACCGAGTAAAAAAGGAACCTGATCTATATTTCGCTTCAAGATGGAAGTGTTTAACCGGCTAGTTTTCTGGTATATTTTGTGCTGATCTGAGTATTCAACAGCAAAATTTGTGCGTCAAAATTGTATGTCGAACAAAAACCAAGAATTCTGCCTCGTTAAAAGTTTCTGGCCTTAATCTTGGCTCTGAGCGCGTCTGAGATGACGAGGAGATGATTCCATCCATGTAAGAACGGGCTGTCTGTGAGTTCGGCTGGGTCAAATTTTCTGGCATCCTTCTCCAACTGCTCGTCGCAAAGAGCGGTCCAGTCTCTGTCGCCAGAAATTGACTAGCTACGATATTGTCACAGGTTCGTCTTCGACTGCTCCTCCGACTTCGTGTTGATTTTAAGTCCAGATATGGGTATGCTTTTGATATTAGCCTCGGATCCTGAATGTAACCGCCTGCGGCCAGACTCTGGTTTAATGGGCGCATAGTAATCGGTGGTTGAATCGTGCGTGGAAGTTTCTTGACCGGCGAGCCACCGTTCTTGTTCTTTCGATAGTCCTGGAGTGAAATGCGAGCCTGTTTAACGGAAAAACTCTCCTCGGATGTGTCCTCCTTGATGGGATGGTTTCTCTTGTGACTTTCAACTTCCAACTCCTCTTTTACCACTGGAGTGTTATCAGAGTAGCGCCGAAAGATGAAAAATTTGAATGTGATGGATCATTTATGGATTCCAACTACAACGGGCTGCGGCAAGGGCGTAATCAGAACTGTGCTGGTCAATCAGGACTACAAGGCGGCAGTCATTCCCGTGGACTGTGCCATCATTGGCCTCATCGTGATTCCCTACGAGTTCAACAAGCAAGCCAAGCGACCCGCCCAGTTCCTGTAGCTCCTGTTTGGCCAAAAGAGATTGTAAGTATATATATCTGAAAGTTATATCTCCTACTGACTGAATCTGCTCTATCCCTTCAGCATCGCGAGAGTGTGAGTGATCATCCACATACCAGAATTCGTAGTGGATGTCGTGTGCAAGACTGTCATTGTGGGTAAAGTACACGGGGATGTTGGCCCTGTTTTGAGACCAAGGATTCTGAATACTCATTAATTAATAATCCATTCATATTGCCCACCCAACCAGGATTGGACTCCAATTTTGTAGTTGGAATCGTTTGGTTTTCGTCGAGTTCACGGTAAAGTGAATCCAGAAATGATGGATTCTTTCATCTTTCGGCGCTACTTTGATAAAACTTCAGTGGTAAAAGAGAAGTTGGACGTTGAAAGTCACAAGAGAAACCAACCCACCAAGGAGGACACATCCGAGGAGAGTTTTTCCGTTAAACAGAACGGTGGCTCGCCGGTCAAGAAACTTCCACGCGCGATTCAACCACCGATTACTATGCGCCCATTAAAACAGAGTCTGGCCGCAGGCGGTTACATTCAGGATCCGAGGCTTATATCAAAAGCGTACGGGCATATCTGGGCGGTAAAATCAACACGGAGTCGAAGGCGCAATCGAAGACGAAGCCAGCGTCAATATCAGAACCCGACAATCCTGGCGACAGACTCTGGACCGCTCTTTGCGACGAGCAAAGCAAAAACGAGCAAAAAAAGAATTCGATTATGATTTGAGCCTACCTTTGGAGAACAGGTTCAAAGCCTGTTTCTCGCTGGGAAATTTGTGTAAAAGAGTCAGCAACGAGTAAACTATCTCAGAAAAGTGGCGGTGCTCAAAGTACATTTCACCGAAATCTCGTCCTGTTGTGGAGCTGTCCTGGTTGAGCAATTTAAACTCTCGCGGGACTCAACTTCCAAACCAAAAATACAGAAATGGCCATATTTGTATTTCGCTCTGTGCCCAGTATGATCAAAGTAGAACAAAGTAGATGCTCTCTAGGTACACTGCTTTGTGTTTGTTTGCACAATAAAACCCGTGGAAAATTCCATCCAAATTTTGTATGAACTCCGGAGTAGAATGTTATTGCAGAGTGGATATGGAGCTAAGCCAAATCTATCTTTCGCCACTAACCATACAGTATAAAGTACACTCCATGCGCGAAGAATTTGTTTAAAAATATTGTTGAGCAATGCATTACAAACGATGCATATTGGTCCAATGCTGCAAATCCATGCGCTTCTCATAGGTATGAAAAGAACACTTGGTAAAAGTGTGCTACAACAAACTTTAAATGTGTCAATGAAAAATTGGAATTAGGCATTAAGCAAGGAGAATTAAATTCCCAGACGCATAATAAAGGTTGGCTTTTGTAATTCGATCATTTTCACAAAATGCTAACATCCCATCCCTTATTAAAAATTATCAATTGGTCTCGCGGCGGCAGCGTTCCTCGGGTCATTTCCCTCTTAGTTCAGTGCTTCAGGCGTACACTCCATTGACGTTTCACTCACACTTACAGCGAGAGCCCTTTCACTCGCACTTATTGACAGCATTGTTACGTTTCCCTAATTTTTCCGACGGGACCTCCTTATAGTTGCTTCATGTATAAGACAAAGTCATCGTTAATTATTAAAAGCAGTTTATTAAATGGATTTTTTTTTTACCTTTAACCTTATTATGCAATCAATTGAGGAAAGATGTACCATAAAATCAGCAAATCCTGCGGAGAATTGAATGATAGTGTGAGTAAAATTACATTTTTAAAGCTGAGAGTCCTTACCTGCTGGTAATATTAAATTGAACATCAAAATCAAGGAAAATAATTTAAGATTCACGGTATATTTACAGTATATTTTGAAAATGCAAGGGTATATTTAATCGATAAGTACGTGGTCACACTGCTCCCGCGGAAAACAACAAACCACCCATTTTATCCCACTGTACTGTGTGCGCACTCTTTGTTTTTTTTTTCGCTCGGGGTGCATCGCTCTGTGGAACCTGTATATATCAACACTTACTTTTAAATATGAAGTGATTTTACAATCCTACTCAAAGACGCAGAGTGAACTGTTTTTAATTGGTTTTTTTAGCAAATAGGCAAAAGTGAACGTGGAGTGCAACTGCAGTTACATAAAATCGAGTTACTGTAACTGCACTTTTACAGTAAGATTCCATTTATCTCAGTCCACACCACCGCCATTTGCCTATGTCTGCGTGTTCTGCGTCGTTCGGTTGTTGTTTCTCCTGCGCGTTTGCTCGTTCTCTCTGTCTCTCAGAAAGCGCACTAGTTGCCTTTTCTCCCCTGTCCCACACTTCCTCACTGCGTCATACTCCGAATTCACTTTTGTCTCCTATTTATAGAGCCACAGATTAACTGCACCTACGAAGCGCTATGGAATCAGAGAAGGGTAGAAAAAGCGAACAAAAGCGTCCACGCGGGTGGGTAAGAGAGATGTGATAGTGTCTGCTCCCACTCGCCATATCACAGTGGGGCCTATGGCGTTATCAGTGCCAAACAACAGCCAACCATAAAATAGTATGCCAATCAGGCCGCGATCAGCCTCAACAAACTAAAAATTATTATCAAGAAGGGCCCCGACTCCATAAATATATGTATGTATGTACATATGTATTCATACATATACATATGCTGTAAGAAGTTCTCAATCTTCTAGCTGCCGTGGCTATGCGGTCTAGACGTTTAGAAATTTCTCATGTTTGGGATTAGGGAACGTTCGTGTGTTCGAATCCCGCCCGAGCTTGTTGGCTTCTTCGACGAAAACCCACGTTAATTAGCCGTTACTCCTTGGGCTACATTAACTTTTTGTTTTTTTTCCCCATTTTCTTTTCCCCTGTTGTTGGTTTTTCACTTAAGTTTTCCATGAAAAAGAATTTTAAAGCGAGTTGTTATTTGCGGTGTGATATCATCGGCATTCAAATATAACGACAATGGTTAAGCTCTCTCTTTTTCTCTCTCTCTGCGTTTGTTCGTTTGCCTCTGACTGGTGACGTAATATGCATCTACTGCAATCGCATTTCTTGCTTTGGTCTTATACGAAATGTGTATGGCTGCGCAAACCGGTTCTCAATAGTTTACTTTTGATTTCGGAACTGCGCCGCACCAAAACAAACTTCCATCTGCTGCTCTCACCCTACCACAATCCCATCCGTATCATAATCATTAAAAAGCGAGTTCCAGATGGGCTGGCTGACTGTCTGACTGGATAGGTTTCTTAGTTGAAGGCGACCTACCATCAAGTGTGGCTGGCCATCCATATCAATGTGAATCGCTGTGTTGTCAACACAATAAAAGTGTTGAAAGCTTATTCAGACGCGATTAAATATTGGGAAACTGCAGTTACTAGCTTGGATTTTCTTAAACTTGTAGGTTTAAAATTGTATTCGTGTAAAACTATTCTTTCGTAGCTTCAACATTCCCCGGATAGACACTCATAATGAAAACGAACATTACCCAAAAACGAGTGTGCCTTAATTTATGGGCAGTGTAACCATTGGAATCAACGCCCTTGACATGGTTACAACACTTATCCAGCTCCAGCTGCTCGCGAAAACATAAACAACGTCATGACGACGAGTTCGTTTGATCTCGTTCTAATTATAGGCAACCCAAAATTACACGAAAATGTTCACGGATAGAGTGGGGGTTTGTTAGATTTGTATATGGCTGATTTCAAATAAGGGCAGAATGCCTTAGATGTGGAATAGGCTTGCTTAAAACTATGTATGTAAATGATCGTGCTAAACATATGTAACAGAAATTGTAAAACTCTTCCAGTGAGATTTGGTTGCATGTGTCTTAAGTTTAAACTCTTAACAGTTGATGCGCGCTACATAAGGTGGTGATATTGATGATGATGACATCACCATCTATTGAGCAGGGCAGCTTATGTAGACCCACTGTCTAGTGGACCTAGGGATTATGCTGGACACCCACACGACGCCCACGGGGGAAAAGGTTTTCGTTTTTGTGTGAATGAAGCAGCTACGAGGGCACTCTGCTGTAACAAAAGTGGGTCAACTGGTTCCATTCAGGCAGCTGGCCGAGGCACTATCAACACGCAACCTGACAAATCAATAAAAGCGACCCAAAATCTTCTAACATACACCCACATGCATTTTATTTATAGCTTGAATAAATATTTTCAGACAATCGAGCCACAGGAAGCGGACTCCAGCCATGGGTCAGATCATGGGATCCATGCAGAGCAATGTGGCCGAAGTGTTTAGCAACCGACGGAAGCGGAAGCGCAGCACGGATTCGACTCTTGGTCAGGAAGAGCAGGCGCAGCTGGGTACCACGCTGCCCAAGAAGTAAGCAGCTCCCAGAGTGCCATTGCTTGTGGTTCCATTTGCTAATTTATTTGCTTGCCTCCACCGCCAGAAAGAAACTGCTGACGACCACGCAATACATTTACAAGGCCCTGTTCAAGGAGGAAAAGAACTCTGATGTGGCCGTGATGGTGCTGGACAAGGTGTGGCACCTGCACAAGGTGTACTTGAGTCAGAGTCCCTACTTCTACACGATGTTCAATGGGACGTGGAAGGAGGCGCAACAGAACTTTATACAAATCACCATTCCCGACGATCGCATCAACGTTGAGAGCCTGGATGCGGTGTTCGGCTCTATGTACTCGGACGAGATCGAGATAGATCCAAAGGATGTGATACCAGTACTGGCCACAGCCACGCTATTCCACCTGGACGGCATCATCGACAAGTGTTCCGAGGTGATGGTAGACACCATCAATGCGGAGACGGCCATTCACTACTACGAGGCGGCCTGCCAGTACGGAGTGATGGGGGTGAAGAAGTCCACCTTCAAGTGGTTCCAGATCAACCTACTCAGCATTTACAGCAAGCAACCGAACCTGTTGCGGCACATCTCCATAGATCTGATGACCGCCCTGACTGCCAGCAAAGACCTCTACGTGATGCAGACAGAGTTCTCCCTGTACACACTGCTGCGCACATGGATGTTTTTGCGCCTGCATCCTGATCACGATCCCGAAGATCCAGTGCAGCGGGCTGAGGCGCAGAGGACGCAGGATCGACTGGTCAACGCTGGCGTAGAGACTCACACACCAAGCATGGATGTTGCCCAGTGGACATACTTCACCAGCCGAATGGAAGAACGCTCCTTTCTGGCCACGACCGAGGGACAGCCCTTTGTTCCAGTCTTCCAGAAGCTCCGCACTCAGTACCTTACAAACCACTATATGGATTTGAAGATCATCTATAACGACAACATAATACCCAAGGAGTGGCTATACAGCCACATCCACAGTCACTGGGACGCCCTGTTAAAAATCGATCACGGCCAAGAGGATAGGTAAGGCCATCCTATCGCACAGTTTCCCGAGGACGTTAACCCATAACTTTGTAATTCTCCCACAGTAGACGACAGTGGGACAGTTCTACAGTCCCGCAACAGTTGGACGACGACCAGTTCTTCGAGAACTGTATGCGCTGTGGTCGCCTCCTGACCGAGCCGGGGTACCAGAAGTGGCGCTGGACGGGCTTTAATTTCGGCATGGATCTCATACTTATCATGGACTCTCGCAGACTGAACATTCGGCGCCACCACCGGCACGAGCACGAGCGAGTCCTGAGCCTCCAGACCAAACGCAAATTCATGATCCGCACCACTGTCACTTCGATCAATGCTCAACGCCAGCCGGTGTTTACACAAACCTCAGACATCTGCTCGCTGAGTCTTGAGAAGAACGAGGAGGTGCCGCTGATGGTTCTCGACCAGAAGCTGGTCCATCCGCTCCTCATATCCATTAACTTGCTCGTAGTCATGCCGCCCAATCAGAGCTTCAAGGAAGTTGTGCCGCACAGCGAGGAGCCAACGTCGGCGACGTCGTTTTCCATACCCATTTCGGAGATTGGCGCCACTTGCGAGAGACCGCTGACTCCGGCCAGTGCTGATGATTCGGCGGTCTACATTGGCGATTCGGAGGCTTCGACGCCGACGTCCCCGTCGCCGCGGCGAAGGATAAGTTGGCCCCGAGAGATCGCTGTCTCCAGCGAGGCTGACGCACTGTTTGGCGACATGGCGTGCTGAGCGCGTACATTCACCAATTGCAATATCGCCATCATAAGCACAACTACATACCACCATTTCCTGTTCATATGCTCGCACTGGCCGAGTGTCGTTTTAGATGTAATTGTAAATTCGTTATCTGATAGTTTCTCTTACGATTACGATTATCGTGTGATTTGATCCACACGTTTGTAAATTAAGTTCCGGCACAGCACACCGAAGATCGTTCTATATCTAGAATCTATATTTTTGTATATCGTTTACATAACAACCTACATGTAATAAGTAATTATGTAAATCTACTCGTTGGAGTAGCCTGGAATCGTTAATGCGCTCGCACATCCATGCTGCATCTTGTAATTTATACATACACACATATTACTCACTCAAAAATTATCTACTTGTTAAGCTAAAGAGTAAGTAAGGCGGCAACGTAACTAAGATTAAAGCGTATTCGGATTATGTAGTCGTGTAGTATGTTTACGCATCTAACTGTCCTAACACACATTTTGTATTCGCTTTGTACGCCATGTACGCACAGTAACAATTATCTCGATTTCGTTTATTAAAGTCTTCGATTAATTAAAAAATTAAGTACATCCAATTAAAAGGTTAAAAAAAGTACAGTACAAATTATCTCGATTTCTATTATAGCAAAATATTCCGAAATTCGTATACTACTCTTTATCACCATCGTCCTGCACGCCAAGCAGCTCATCCAGAACGTTTCGCCGCCAGGAGGCCAGATCACCAATCAACTTAAAGTTGTCTTGCATCTGCGGCTCTGCACCTCCTGCAGTTTGAGGCAACCTCCTCAGAATCCTATTGCCGTCCTTGCTCCGCGTCCAAAACGTGTACTTCGCTGCACGCGCCGCCTGAACGTAGGGCGACTTCTCCTCATAGCTCATGAGTTTCCACTTCTGGCCGGCACTCAGCACTATTTGAGTTTGTCGCAGATTGCAGAGTTTCTCCTTGTTGCACCTCTTGAAGTGTACCAGAAATCTGAGGAAAGGATTTCGTCCGCCCCCTTCCGCGTCAGTCATTCCTTTGCAGCGTTTATTTTCCAGTTTACTTGACGTGCACTTCGACTTTTTGGCCGAACCAGAAGTAGTCGTCTTAGAGGATGAGTCACCACACTTTTTTACACAACTCCCCATTTTTCAGAGAATTTTGATCAACGTACAATAAGTATTGTATTTATATAACAACTAATGCAAAGGACATAAATACATATGTATGAGGGCATATAAGGTAAGAACAATTTAATTGTTAGCATTTAACAACGGAAATTTGTAATTAAATTTATCTACTGACACCAAACAAATTCGCTTTTGCAGCCATCATCATATGCATAATTGAGTACAGAATATTCGCCGGAGGGGGGTTCACAGTAATACAGATTAGTAATAGAATAATTCTGGAAAGTTTGTCTCGTAGATGGGCTTTTCGTTGCTGCCCTGCAGCTGGGCCACCTTGCTGTCGCTTTGCGATATCTGACGCTCCACGGCCAGCGAATTGAACAGCTCGTTGAGGCGGTTCTGGATGAGATCGTGCTACAAATGGGGAAACAAAACTAATGAGTTAGTTCGAATAAATAGATGGGGCATGGTTGAGAATTACCTTCGGTTCTGTGCGTCTCACAAGATCATCGAACTCGCCTTCGCGGAAGGTGCGAACGATTTGCATTTGTCGCTCGCGCAGCTCCCGCTTAGCAGCCTCCGTGGGCTCGGCTAGAGCCCGTTTCATTGCGTCGAAGTTGAATTCGGGCGCCAGTATCTTCTTGCATACGCCCGGCGAGCTGCTCACGCTGTCCACATCCCCATTGTAGACCGTTAGATCCGCCGAGCTGTTGCGCTGCGTCAAATGGCTCACCGACTCCACCCAGGAATGGCGGTGGCCGGGATTGTCCGTTTGGTTGAGCGTATAGGGAGCGCCCGTATTGAGACGCTGGGCATCCATGCCAGCATTTTGCAGACACTCGCCCAGCGCCAGCTTGTCGATTGCTAGGTGTGGCAGCGACAGATTCAGGCTCTTCGATGCGACCTTCTTGGACTCCAGCAGCGGGGGTAGATAGTAGGTGGCCTCCTCGCGACGCGCATCAACAATCTTCTGGGCATACTCCAGCAAATTGTTAATGCCACTAACACGCGAGATGAGCACCAGCAATGCAATTGAAATGGCGTGCAAATTGCACTTGTGCACGGCTCCCAAGGTCTCCACTGTGTTGGCCACCTCTTGAATGCTAAGGATGTAAGAACATGAGTTTGGTAAGATGAAAGCTTCTTGATTGGATGCCTTACCCCAGGATAAACAGCAGGAACTCCTGCACTGTCTCGCTGCTGGACATCTCCACAATGAGCAGGGCGGCGGTGTTGTAGCTGGCGGACAGTGCGTCGACGCGCTCCGAAAGGGCCATGCTATCAATGAGCGCCTGCATTATGTGGGCTCCGTGCTTGTGCGTGAAAATTATGTCAGAGCGCGAGGGCGGCTCCTGGGAAAGGGCCGGATATGGCTTCACACTGACACTACTGAGCACCTGATCGTTCTGGTGGCGATCCAGGAGTGCTTGGAAGATCTGCATGACAATCAAGCGCGTTGGATCATGGGGCGCACGGGCCATCTTCAGCAGTGGCTGCAGGAACGAAGCGGGGAAGGCCTTCTCGAAGGACACCGTGCTGTACTGGGTGCCGACCTTAAGCAGCGACTTGAGCAGAATGTTCTGCAACATCTGGTCGCCCTTGCTCTTCTTAGAGGGGTCCGGCACCGTGTTCATGATGAACAGCATTATCTCGATCTTCTGGTAGTCGGGATGATGGTTTGCAAACTCTCCCAGTGCATTTATAAGCGCCTCCTGGTACTGAGACTCCTCAGCGGTGATCTCAGTGGTGGTGCTTACGCTTGTGCGCAAGTGGGTCAGCAGATTGTTGATGATGTCCAGGGCCGAGGGTCCTACGCTTTCGCCGGCCGCAATGGCAATGATCTTCGACAGCACCACCGCCAGGGAAGTGCGCGTCTTGGGCGAGGACTTGAAGTTGCTGTCCAGGTGCTGCATCAGCGTCTCCACCACAGTGTACGAGTACTGCGGCTGAATCGAGATCATCACAATACGGAACGTGTGAATGGCAAAGGTGTTTGGCACCCAAAGCTCATGCCGATCGAGGTGACTGTACGATTGCGAGGGTAAATATTGATTGAGCACATTGATAGAACTGATAGTTATGCTTTGTTTGTGGCCACTTACGTCAGCAGCGGCTTGAGCACGCTCCGAATGTGTCCGAACGATGCGCGCCCGACCAGCTCCCGGAGCACTTCCTCGGCCAGTGCTGGTGGCGTCACATTAGTGGCATCTTCGACGGGCGTGAGGTCGCCAGACTGCGGCGGGCGATAGAGAAATACATTAGAGTCTGGCACTGGACAGAAGGTGCATCTATCTTATCAGCTACTAAACTACTCGCACAAATGCTAGTCCACAGGTCATTGTGCTAATTTAATACTAGGATTCGATTCGATTATAGTAATTATTACCGCCAGTAAATTTTTCTTCACGAACATAACGTTTACACAAAACTGTTTCATGTTGTTGTGTGTTGGTTGTGTTGTGGATTGGTTGGTTGGTTGGTTAGGGTTTGGTTTGCATTAACAGAATATACGAAAACGAAATGCAGAATAGTATATCGAAATTAGTTCAAGTCGCAACAATTTTGAATCATTAACCAATCCAATTGAAATGGCAGGGATCCAGGGATATTTATCCTCTGCATCGGCTGCTACATGTGTTGTCATTTTGCTCACCTGCATATTGAACAGCAGCGAGGGCACAATCTTCTCCATGTGCTGTGCCGCCCAGATGTTCTCCACCAGATCATCGGACACGGTCTTTCGTATGACGCCCTGCAGTCCCTTGATGCCCGCCAGCCGCAGGCTATCCCTCAGATCCTTGCCCTCGCTGTGGCACATCGACGAAAACTTTGAGATGAAGAAATCGTAGCGTCGATGGTACGAGGGCGTGTCTTCGTTTATGTTGGCGAACTTGACAAACTGCATGGAGTGACATAATGGCATAATGACACACTGAGCAGACTTCATGTTTACTTACCGAATTGGTGGCCATGATTTTTAAATTCGGATTATTATCCTCCAGCAGCTTCTGCACCATCCGCAGGAACGATTCCACGAACAAGTTGAGAGTGGTCTGGGCGTGACAGGCCTGCAGCAACAAGTCCATTGCCTCCATGGCGATCTCTGCCAGCCTTAGAGGGCAAGCAAACACATTTAATGTTATTCAAATAACAGATGCCAAGCCGTTTTACTCACTTGTAGCGCTTGCGGTTGATGTCCTTGGTGGCCTTCTGGTAGAGATATTCGCCAATGCGGTCAAGCTTATCGGGTGAGCTGAGCGAGTAGAAGGTCAGCTTCTCCATGTTCGACTTGACCAGCCCATCCTCCGGGTTCACCGGAAAGATGTTGTCCACCAGTCGCTTGTAGCGCGGCCGCAGCGCCGAGCAGCACCCGCAGCAACCTAGAAGGGCGCAGGGAAAGGCACAGCTATTAGAGGGATTTGGAAGACAGGCGCGTATGCAGCGGTAGGTAAACATAGCGACGACGATGCGACGTCATCGGAGTGGTCCGTGTTTAGCAGATGGCGAAAATCGACTACCGGGAGCGACCCCTAGAACTGGCGACTCGCCTGACCGGCACCAGTCAGCGGGGTGGCGCTCGGCAGGGTAGGTAGAGTCGAATGGGTGCGACCACCATTTTCCGTTGTAATCTTATCGCGATAATGCTTATGGCCGACTATAGTTTTTGCTGTTCTTATTGTCAGATGTCGCGTGCCTGTGTGTGTGTGTTACCCTGCGTTTAAGCTGTGTCCCGATGAGTGATGGCGCTTTTCATTGCTCTTCGGCGATATTGGCCTGTTCCATCATATATAACCCTTCCGGTTACTCCTACACCCCCACCGACTCACCCAATGACTCGGACCGGCCCCAATCTGCCACCTGGTGGCGTCATTTTCTTCACTTTGGTGTCGAGGTCATATCGTTCTCAATGGCCTTTATCACGCCAGGCAGCGCTTTTCACCTGGCTCTCTCTCGATTGCTTACCAGGCATGTCAGCGTTTGCTCCAAAGGCGTAATTTGCTTCGTTGGCCTTTATCGCGGCATTAGATAATAAAAGTAGGCGATAAAAGAGCTATGCTCTGTGTTTGTTGTTGATTTTTTTTATGAAAAAAAATTTTACTATCGATATCGAAGATTGTCTGTGTTCAGTGTGACCGTGGACCCATCGATCAAATATACCGCATGACCCTCAAAAATAAACCGATATAATTACGTTCTAAATCTAAATCTAAATATACCTAAATCATTTTCCTTGATTTTGATATTCTGCTTCATAATGCCAGCTATTTAAGACTCTCAGAACTAAAATTATAATTTTATTCCATTTCTTAATCAGTTATCCACAAGATTGTCTAGTTTTCATGATCTATTTATATTGTATTGATTACAAAATAAGGTTCAAACTAAAATGGGAAACGAAAAAAAGATTAGCATAACCCGTAAGAATGTTTCGATTTGCCAACTTGTTGCTTGTCGTCGTATGACACTCTAAATATTTATTTCGATACATGAGGCACAGAAAAAACAAACAAATCCGTCATGCACTGATACTCTAGATTACCTAATTATAGTACAAGCTTTACTTATGCTAGTTCTACGATCTGGCAGCACTCGCTAAAGCGGTAACTGGCCGTTGAATTTTGAAAGATGGCTTTCTCGTTAATCTCATAAATAATCAGATTTTATACTCACAACTGGGATCGGTGCATTTTTGCACGAAGCTGTCGAAGAACTCGGGCAATTCTGGTGGCTCAAAGCAGCAGCGTAGCAACGCCATAGTTAGATGACAACAGCAAAATCTCGCACCCCCCGGGCAGGACGTTGACCATGAACTTTGAGTATTTTTAGTGCGAGCGTCTATATCCGTTTGTTGCTCTTCTCTTGTTGTTTGTTGCTTGAAGTCAGCTGATGCCCGACCTAGCGAGGGCAAAGCTCCAACTCTCGTCTTGCTGTCTCCAAGCTTTTTATTGCCATAGACACTTATATCACAGGGGGCCCCAGTTGTGGGGTTTGAGCCAATGATGCCTTTCCCCTTTATTTGTTTTGACACACATTTCTGAATACTAATCAAGGTAAAATTAATTGTCCTACGCCCGAAACTCGTTCAATAAAAACGCTACCACTTTGGCGAAACGATAATTAATGCAATTAATAAAATGTAAAAATTTTTAATAACGGCCGCCAGGCCGCCCAAAACTCAAACAGCACACGGCAGGAACAACAAACTGAATGGAAAATGTGTGTTAGAGAAAATGTACTTTTCGCACAAAAGCTCGATGTGGCTGCCACACACTTGGCTGGCTTCGCGGTTGCTGGCAAAAAGCACCGCAGAAAAGCAAAGCTCAGGGGAAAAGCTTCAGCTTTTCGCGTATGATTTTCATTCATGAAGTAATACTCTGGTGGCGGCGGGGGGGCTTGTGGCGTTCGCTTCGTTTACCGTTATGCAGAGGACACAATTAAACACTCGAAATCTGGAATGCAAAACGAGAATCGTTATGCCCACGGACACATACTCGATGTTGTCAATTGCGTCCATCAGCAGGCAACGGAGAGTTTGTGGTGTGTGTGTGTTGGCTGCTAAAAAGAGATGGCATGCTGTCGGCTGGAGCTCTTCACACGCCAGTTTCGTGCGTTGACAACTTTATTAAGCCTAAATGGGCTCCTTGGCGGGATGGGTGAAGGGGAAGCGGTGCAAGAAAAGGAGCGTGACGAGGAGTGTGGAGCGGGAGTGGAGAAGAGCTATCAAAGTGGACGTGGTCTCGGTTCTCACTCCAGCTGGGTGCTTTATAGTTTCTTGACCGACGATGACGATCGATGATTTATTGGTATTTCGCTTATTCCGAGATCTTTTGATTAATTACTGTGATATTCAAATTCAAAATTCAAGTGTGTTCAGCATATACTCACATTTACGAGTATGTATCAATATATCTGTCGCCTTTATATTCTCATTCCCAAAAGAGACGATTCTCGCGTTGAGTTCTGGGACCGAGTGGCGATATTTTACGCTTTGTTCACGACACATGTCCAGAATGGTTTTTATTTACCCAAAGATTAGCGCCCTGTTCCGAAGATCCGAATGGTTGTCGTATCTAGAAGATGAATTAATTAGTGCCGGGCCTTAATGACTAGTGATTGATGAGTGGGTGTGGCCTTTGTGGGCAGGAGCGGCAGCGGGGGTCCGGCTAGGGTCACTGCTTTGGAAGCGTACAGTAGCCAGTCCAAAACTGGAATATCATCTGCCGACTCCAACAATATTTTCATATTTGCCTGGGCGCACGTAGGAAAACATCCCAAGAATGTTTGGGCGATCTGGTTTCACTTGTTTCCACTACCAGCAGCGCAAAGCTCCCTCCCCCCAAGTATTCGTACTCGCACTCGCACTCGCACCTTGATTCCAATTCATACGAAAGAGTGTAGAACACAAACTTGCTCACGTTCGCTCTTTAAATCTCTCGCTCGCTTGCTCTCTCTATCTCTCTCTCTTGTTTTTCTTCTTTGGGGCTTTCGAAATGCCGGCTACTTGCTAGCAATGTGTATCAACACACGGTGAGGCCATTGGCAATCATGAATCTCTCTGAAGCTGAGAGAGGGGAAATATCTCACCTTACATACAACGTTGCACCTTGCTTGCTAACTTCGTCACATTCGGCACTTGTTTACCTGCCCTCGGCTCATTAAGCTCGTGGCTCTCTCTCTCTCTCTCTCTCTGCCGATCTCTCAATCTCCATTCTCTTTCGTGGGAGCTTTGCCAGAGATCGTGCCGAGTCCCATCAACTGGCTGGCTGCTGGCTTCAGTCGCCTCTCAGACGTGACCGCGACCACCTTATTGCCGATCCACTAAAAACGAAACTGCGTCGCGTTCGAGCCTAGTAAACAGCCCACAAGCAACCAACGAACTGGCCAGCGCCCAACTGCCAACAACCCGACACCCCACTGAAGAGGATTCCGGATTCCATCTTCCACGAAAACCCTGACTCCCCCCAACAACAGCAACGGCTACAGCCTAAAGCTGGCTTTTGGTGGCAATCACTGATCCGACCCGACCATCGGCACGTCCATTCAAACGCTCTCGAGTCGACAACAACCCACACAAATCAACGACTTTGTGCGCATTGCAAAAAAAAAAGCAAAAGCAAGAGCTAAATCAAAAACTCAAATACAAATACAAATACAAATCGTGATAAATGTTAGCTTAAATTGTGCAAACGTTATTCGATGAATTGTTTCGGACAAAGACCATTTTCGGTATCGACTAATTAATATTTGACGTGCATCCGCATACTCCGAAAAAAAAAACAAACAAAACAAAAAACTCCGCGACGACACCTGGCAAGTGAAACACTTTTGTGTGTGCCACCTAACGAGCTGTTGATACATCAGCAACAATAACCCCCAGCGGCCCCACTACAAACAAATAAGTAATTAGAACTGCGCAAAAATTACTTACATAGAACTGCAAAAACACATGTACATATGCGGAATGCTGTTTTGAGGTGAGTCGAAGCGACACTACAGTAGAACAACCCTAAACACACCCTCTAACGAAACGCAGTAGATGCTTTGTACCCTCTACACTCTGATAACAAACTGAACTGCAGGACCCTGGAACCAACGAGAATAATCCTTTCCTTAATCCGCCCAGCAAAATCCTCTTCTTCCCTACTAAATCCGGCTAAAACTAAAGCTATCTCTGATTCTACTCTATGCTGCCTTGAATTATTCAGATTCGTAATCCCAAATACCTAATCTCAGATCTAAGCTTTTATGAGCCTCGAATAATATTGAGGCTGTCCCAGTTACACACTTACCCATGTGGGTGGGTGGGTGTGTGTGTGTGTGTGTCTGTCTCTGAGCCATATATAGGATGGAGCGGGCAACAGAACAGCCAACGCACTAACGAAAGTCAAGACACGAACATGAGTCAGATGGCATAGAAGTTTTGCTGGCACTCCACTCTACGTAAGCCAAAAACCCATTTGGTCTCGCCTGATCTGGGCAACGCAACCTTTCGCCCGATCTGGTTAATTGGAAGTCATTTGGGGGTTCAACGATTCGGCGGCAACGAAGAAGATTCGCGATGAAGAAGAACCAACTCGACGCGACCCGACCGGACCCGACCCGACCGCAAATATCGTCTACTTTCTTTCGGTGTTTCTCCTCTCGAAACATTAATATGAAATATACTTAACGATCAGGCGGTCTGTCGGAGCTTTGAATGTGGATGGGATGCAAATTAATAACCAATTCTAATGTTAATAATAAAAGCTCGACTCTGTTCGGCTGATGTAGAGCTTATAGACCGCTGAAATGCGTTCGTCTTCATTGTTTGGGGCGGAAATAGAAACAGAATTTTTGAAGGTCTCTCTCTCTCTCTCTCTTTGCTGAACAGAAAGCAAACATTTTTCAATGATGACTTCAATGTTGAGTGAAAGTTTTCGATGCTCTTCGGAAATTTGAGGAACAGTTTACATATTCCACCATCACTTTATATATATATATATATATAGAAGTGTGTTCTCTGTGGGGGACCCTAAGTTCTTATGAATTAGCATTGCTAATATTTCGTTAGAAAAACTTTAGCATTTACATTAGTCTGGGCTTTGATGTGATTAGGAATTTGAAATTTATTGTTTTTCTGCGGTTTTTTGGCAAAATATACATAAGTAATTGGCCACAGAATCGGCACATTTGAATTCTGGTTCAAAGTTATTTGTTGTTTGTGTGGATTTTGCTTAATTATACAACATAAACATATGTAGTTTCGTCTCGATAACGAGAGAGAAAAACGAAGCGTTACAGAAGGTTCTCCTGGGGTCAATCTTTATTTTGCGAAGCACTCTCCATCCACTTCTCTTCTGGAAGGATCCAGAAAACTGCGTTTCGTTCAACCTATTCTAAATTATTTCGATATTTATGTAGATCTTGTATTGTATGCGTGGGAGATGTTTTATTGCTGCAAAGATTTGACCAACTTTAACCTTGAATTTCAATGCCACTGCCAATGTCAATGATGTCAGATGTATATCTGTATCTGTACATAAGATGCGATAATATATGTATCTGAATGTGTGGCTGTGTGGAGTGTCTTGATAAACACCTCGTTTTGTTCTGCTGCATCTTCCAGAACCCGAACTGCTGCTGCTGCTGCTGCTGGGTGCTGTCCTCGTTCTCGTTCTCGTGCTGCCTCTCGTTTTCGTGAGCCTCTTCAAATGCCGGACCAAATTAACTCGACTCCTCATTAAAGTCGAAAAATTCGAAAGTTTCGACCGCCATCGTCTGGAAATAAACGTCAATTTAAACGAAACCCCTACTCCACACACAGGAGGTAGAGGAGGGTAGCAGCAGGGTAGGCAGGAGGTTTGTTCAAAAAACAAAAACAAAAAAAAACAGCCACAAAAAATTGAAAATTCTCAAAAAGCTGATTTTGTTGATGTGGCCAAAAAAGGTCTACAGCCTTGCCATGTATGCAGTCAGTCCTACGGCTTGTCTCGTTTTTTTGTTTTTTTTTTTGGAAGCCGCTGCGTTGCCTCCTCCCCATACGGGGTATTACGAGTATATTGTCTTTGGGCTGCCGTTTTTGGTGTTGCATGCGTCAAGGATGATTTGTATTTGTGCATAAGGCGAATGCTGTTTCTCGATTTTGGATTTTCTGTTTTCTGTTTTATGTTTTATCATTAATTAAACTTTGTATTCATTTCATTTTGTGCTCGGTAGAGCTTCCTGCTTTGAGTCAGTGTCCGGCATTTAGCACTTTACACCTACAACGCGATGCCAACAATTAGTCACTGACATCAAAGGCCAGCCACCGCCCGCTCTTTCTTAGAACACTATTTTGCAGCTATTTGCTAAGCCCAAATACTAACACTATCCCTGAGTGGTGCCTCACTAGGTTGATTGTCGTAGCTGTAACGTTGCCCCGCTCCCAGATTTAATTCATCTTTCTCCCTGCCACATATCGTTGCATTACGTCTGTTCCCATTTTATTGGCACAATCACTTCCCTGTCGTTCGGTTCGTTCCACACCCATTGCGGCTATGTGGTCCTCCCTGGTGACCTTAAGCAACCGAAGCATAGATGGATGTGGTTGGATGGATGGATGGATGGATGGAAGGTGCGTGGCTCTTCGAAGCACATTCACTTTGGCGCTGGCATCGTGCAGCTTTAATTGCCCATGGGGG